TCTATTGCACAACAATCATCTCTTGCGTTTAAAAAGAAATCATCTTTCCACATACCTTCTTCACTCCAAAATTTGAAGGAATAATAATCCTTATCCGGCCCAACCACCTTGCAAACCTCCTTGTTCATCACCGGAGGATCAGGTATACACACACTGCTCCAAGTTTGCGTCTTTGGATCAAAAACCTCTGGATTGTCGTCGCCCCAGTCTGCACCAACGCAGCCTCCCATGACGTATATCTTACCGTCTAAGACACCTGCCTTGGCTTCACGGCGAGCAAATCTCATGGAGGGGAGCTGGCTCCACGTGTGAGTCCGACAATCCAGGAAGGAGACACCCGATGATGTCGTCATGGGGTCTATCATTCCTCCAAGTACATAGATCCCACATCCCATGGAGACATAGGTAGCTCTGCGCGGAGATGGGAACGAAGGGATCATGAAAATGTACCCATAAAATCATGAAAAATATTTTGGATTACACCAAACAAATTTCTTTCATTCTTTGTCGCAGGTACTATGATAAATATCTTCCTACATATCCCTTATATAGTAATTGAGAATCATTTAAAAAGTTGTAACCTTAAGTTTGTAATAATTAAAAATAACACCAATCCTATGTGGCATAGCTCTTTAGCTTTTATTTCAAATTCCAAAGATTGTAGAGCATGTGATATAATGTATAGTTTAAAATTTATACTCTCTAGCAATATAATATTTCGTAGACTATAGTTGGTCACATATATCAAATATTTATTATTTCGCATGCTTTCCTTAAATAAAACCTATGGAATTACCTAATGTGATTAAAACATATATATGACAATTAATGATTTTAAACAATAAAGATTTGATAACAATCTATATACTTTTTCTTATTTTGTTTATTTCTTTATTATTAAAATAAATTACACAATTACACTAATCATATAACAAAAATCTAGATTTTTTTTTTGTGTATGTTGTATTTCGAATTTTTTAAAATGAGTATAAATTACTAAAACTGTTAAAAGTCTCACATAAAATTTTAGGATCAAGGTTTTAATTTTTTTCTATATTAAAATATAATGATTATAAGACCATATGAAGAAATAATTTTAATTTATATATACTTCATATCGTTTTAATTAAACTATACATCGTATGAAAATACATACTTATATTTTGATATTTGCATTGAACATATATTGAAAATTTCATATTTTAATTTTAAAATATGTAATTTTTTTTTAAAAATGATTATAAATTATTGAAACTACAAAACATCTCAAATTAAAATAAAATTCGTTAATGTAAAGTTTTGTTACACAAATATGCAAATAATCATAAAATCATATGAGTAAAAACCTCTTTTATAAATATTCATATTAAAAGTGTGCTATATTAATATGTTTATATCATTTAAATTTAATTATATATCATATAAAATATATAAGATTGATTATTTTGATTTATTTACCCTAATTGCGAATAAACAAGAGTGATAGTTAAATTTATATGCATACGCCAATTTATTACATAATAGTAACTGATTTCTTAGTTATTTAATATATACATTTATTATTTTATTATTTTATGATATGCAGAAAAATATAAAATAAATATAAATATTTATTGTGCATAAAGTGCAGATCTTAACCTAAGTATGTATCTCTTTAATTATTTTAAATCTTAAGTATTTTCTAAATCCCAGGTCAAAACAAACAAATGAAATGAGAACAAACTTCAAAATAAATAACCAAAAAAAGAAAAAAAAAAGACAACAAAAGAAAAAAACTGAAGATAAATAGGATTGACACGTGAACGTAAACTTCTCATAACCATAATTAGTTTTAAAAATTTTAAATCATAATATAAAACTGAGTTAATGTTTAATTTGTTAATTTGTTAATTTTTTTATTTTTTAAAATTATTATGGTTATGTTAAATCATGACCATAACTAATTTTAAATTGTTTATTTGTATTTGAAAAACTTAAAATATTGTTTTTAAAGATAATTTAAAATTTAACTTAATTTTTTATAAAATTATTTTCTTAAATTGTAAAAAATATAATTTTCTAATATTATTACACAAATAAATAAATTATATTAAATTAGTTTTGAAACTTATATATTTTAAATGCAAATATTTTACCAACTGCTTCTTAAGAAAGCATTTGAGAACTTGCTAATCCTCTACCAATCAAGCCCAGTGACAGTCCGTTTATTTTTCATCGCTCGAACACTGAAAAATGAAAAGACAGAAGAAGTCGGGTCCATTAAATTCTAAGCTTTGATCTAGAGTTCTAATTACAATTGTTTCTGATCCTACGTATAGATAATTATATAAAAACCAAAATTTTAAAATGTCAAATACATATAAAAACAATAATATGTAAATTTTAAATTTGTCAATACTAAAATTTTATATTTTAATTACATATATTCACCCTGCGCAAGGCGCAGGTCTTATCCTAGTTTTATAGTAATATTGATACCTAAATTAAACTTTATGGTAAATGGAATAAATACTACCGGAAAAAAAGTATCAATAACACAATGTGATAACTTTGTTTTCTTAACCGCTATAGAAATTAATTTTTCAATTTTCATATATTATAATCCTTTTATATGTTAATTGAGAAGTTATTTTAGTAATTTCTGATGATATGTCATTCATATAAAAAATCTGAAAAAAAAATCTTATAATTTAATTGGTCGAATCTTTTGTTTCTAAATAACACCGAGCATTAAAACTAGAATCTACTAAAATGCATTGCTAAACAAAAGGATAAACTTTGCTAACAAGAGTTAAACTTTGGTAATTACGATTTTCTCTTTTTTTTTCTTCCTCAATCCATCTTTTTGACACCTCGTTTTTGTTTCGGTGGTGGTAATTGTGTTTTGATTTTTTTTCGTTTTTCGAGTCTCTTATTTCTGTTTTTTTTCTGTAAGATCCTTGCTATTGGATGATGATTGAACATGTCTTTTGCATCGAATTGTTGATTCACTAGAACATAAATATTATTGCTCTTTATTGTATGCTTCTATGAAGATGAGAATCACCAGAGGTTTGTGTTGATGGTGTATGATCAAATATGTTCTTAGATTCTTTTCATGTATGGACCATCACCAACTCTGTTTGATGGCGTTTCTTAGCGATTAAACTATGTTTTGATAGTTTTTGAGCCAAAAGCTGAAAACACTATGGTCTAAAANTATACAGATGACAATAAAGCCATCTTGTATTATATTCGGTTGTAATTACATTTACCGTGTATTTTAGTCTGAACTTAAATAAATATTACTTTGAGACTGATCGTATTATCATGTATTGAGAAACGTTTTAATAAATACTAAAATTTGACTCGTGCGTATGTACGGATGTAGTTTTTTAAAAATAAATATTCTTATTTTTTATATCATTATTATATATCATATATATGTCATCATCTAATTAAATAGTATTTTATACATATTATCATATAATTAATAGTATTTTATACGTACCATCATACAAATTAATGTTGAATTTGCGGATCGATCCGCCCCGCTGCGTATTGAATCACTTTTTGATTCAAAATTTTTATCCACTTGATCCGCAAGTAGAAAAATTATACTTGCACCCACCTCGTTTAGATTTGTGGATAACCCACAACATCATCGTGTAACATTAAAAATAATTATTTTATTTTCTGAAACTAAATAATATATTTAATTAATTTTTACTATTCATAATTTTTATTTATTTTAAAATAAAATAATTTAAAATAATCTTTAAAAAAAAAAAAATTTGCGAGCTGACGGATATCTGCAGTTTAAATTTGACCGATCCGCACCCTCTCCACATAAAATATACCAAATTCGCACATGCCTCACATATTTTTCAAATATGTTGATCCCCACCCGCCCTGTAGTGGGTCAAACAAGATGAGACCCACATGTAAAGAGTAATTTCACAAGTTTAATATAAATAATCACATATATTATAATTTTAAAAACTTAATGTAAAATATAAAACCACAATTTAAATTGGTATTTGAAATTAGGTTTTGTATTGTATTTTTCTTATATATATATTGATATTTTTTATAAAAGCTATTGGAAAATATTTTAGTGAAAATCATTTTTGAATATATGGATATTTTAGAATCAATTTTTGATATGGATTAATTTTAAATCCTTTTTTTGATTTGAAATATGTATATAAAGTTTAAATTGTGTATTATGATTATTTTAAACAAAAGATGTTTTTAGGTAATTCGATTGGCCTATTTTCATATATTGTCAAGATGACCCAAATAGATAATTTTTCATAGGAATTTTGTTTCTTAATAATTAAGCCCATTATTATTATTTTAATATACTACAATATATGTTGTCAAACAACAATATACTCTTTTTATTAAGGAGTTTTAATGAGTTTAACGAAAAAACATTAAACTAACTTTATTTAACGAGTTAAACTCTCGCCGTTCATAATTACCATTATTACCGGTAAATCTTTAGTTTAGGGGTTTTACCATAAAAATAAAAATAAAAAATTCAAAATATAATAACTATCTAAAAATTCATAATTTTAATTTTCAAAGTTAGCATTTTTAAACATTTCTGTAAATCTATGAGTCTGATTTGTTATTCTTTTAAAATTAACATTATATATGTACAAATTAAAAATGTAAAAACCCAGAAAATATAAGAAAATTATTTAATGGTTTACCTGTAATAAAAATTATCAAAAAGTTATAAATGTAAATAAACAGGAAAATAGAATAAAAATTATGTCTTATCTAATAAAAATGTAATAATTTTTATTACATTTTTTT